TATTATAAGTCTAAAAAAATATATATTAACTTAATATAGTATTAATATGAATACCACAATAGCTGTACAACGATAAGTGTTCTTAATCTGTATCAATGATAATAATATTATAAAGCGTATACTGCAAGTTTTTATACGCACTAAATACCACACAACTACATTCGTGTTATGTATATGTTTCTTGTCTATAGTAGGTACCTACCTATAATAAGTCCCGTATTATTTTCGGATTTTGCGACAGTAAGATACATTACATAGTACAATTATTGTCAAACTACAAACTGTGATAATATATACCTTACTGCATATATTGCAATATCAGAAATTAGGTTAAAGGCTCGGTTTATATAATAWAATATATGTAGATACTATAATATGTAGTGCTCCTTCAATCGAATAATCTATAATAATTACATATTATATTATCATAATACTTTTTTAAGCCTAGAAAGGTATACTTAATAATATCATAACATAATGATTGTTGCTTGTATAATATGAAACCTAATAACCGTCCCGATATTCGACGAAGATGCCAACGGCTCAGTCAATCAATAGATCTGAGATTTCTATGGTGGACAGAATTCTGTTGCCATACCGAAGCAACATCTGTCGGACCACATCCTCGGCGACCGGCATCACCAGGTCGAGAACCAGTCGCTTGTTCGTGTTGAAAAACTGCGACGTCGTTTGTGCTGAAAAAAGATTGGACGCTAAAGTACCGTGTATGATAGATATGTAATATTATTATATGCAATGGTTTTCGACATATCGTGCATAGTATACAGAGTGCTCATTGTTTCCATATAGATATATGACCCGTTCACCATCAGTCTAGACTTTACATAAGACCAATACATAATATAGAAGTGTATAAATATTTGAATTTTCAATACACTCATACGTGTATATATACATACATATACGTGTAATATGCGTCACACGAATGAATAAATGGAGTTTCAACTCTAAGAAAATAAACAAAAAAAAAAATACACTTCCAAAGATATGAATATGGCAAAAGATTATCGAAGACTAGTGTACTAACAGAGTGCTGAGTGGGCACTGGGCACTTAATTTCTGCATAATATTGCACATTAAAACACTAAGACGTACACTAGTCACTTTCCAATAGTGCCAGTACCTGTAATTGTAAACCCAGATTATAGCGGGATATAATATTATATTTATTACGATRTATAGTTTCTCTATCCCAGAAAATATACACATTCGGTTTATGTTAAATGTTTATTAATCATATAATAATAATATGGTATACTGTTATTGTGTATTTAAACCACACTAATCACTTTATAATATCAGTTTACTAGTTTACCTACTGCAATTAGAAATAAATACTTGCGTATATGTATATAAAAATAGGAAATTATAGTTTAAATAACTCATATTAAAATTTTAACAAATATTTAAAATTGTTTTAATTTTATGTAATATATATATACAAATACACATACAAATATTTTCACGAGGACAAATTTATATTTGTTGATTAATTTTAMTATTTTAAACCATTAAAGCCTATATTAAGTTGTATACGTTCATTTTTGMAAATTGTTACAGTAAATCTTATAAAATTGTTTAACTTACAACTGTGAAACATCATAAATTTATAAAGAATATTAATTTCGATGTTGGCACATGTACCTACTTAGACTATATGCAAATATCGAAACATATATACCTTGTGTTCGCCAATTTAGGGAACACTGAATTTCTCGGCCGGGTGCATGCGCAATGCAACTTATTTTTTTTTAATAGCAACCGGTATTTTTAATACCAAATTCAAATTCGAATAGACTGAATTTGTTTAAGTCATTTTGACCACYTAACCATGGTTCTAAAACCAAAATTGACTGAATGATAGCCATTCAAATTTTAATAAATAATACATTTTTACAAATTATTATAAAATTCATAAAACTATTTATTAATGATTACTTTTTAAAAATTTTTACAAATTTTTTTATACGTGTTATAAATAAGATTAACATAGTATGGATATAAAATTATTTAATTAAAATTGATTACAACTGTATTCGTAAAAATATTCAAAAAGTAACYAATAATAATTTTAAATGGTTTTAGGCATTTTATTATAAATTGTAAAAATGTATTATTTATTAAAATTTGAATGGCTCTCATTCAGTCAATTTTGGTGTTAGAGCCATGGTTAAACGGTCAAAATGACTTTAAAAAAATCAGTCTATCCGAATTTGGTATCAAAAATACCGGTTACTATTAAAAAAAATAAGTTGCATTACGCATGCACGTACCGAGGGTTAAAAATTTGAAATTTATCTGAAAATGTGTATTTATATACCACTACCTTTAAAAAAAACCAGATTTATTCYAAAATAATCCGGCCAAGAAATTCAGTGTTTCCTAAATTGGTGAACACACGGTACTTATATATATTTATAGGTACATWTAACTATGTAAACTACAACTACATATTATCTGTGTATCATCATTATTTTGAAATTACTTGGATACTGACCCATTTTAACCTTCAATATGTCTTAAGGTATCGACGTTGCATTTTATAATCGAATGACTGAATTATTGCAGAATAGCATTTAGGCATTAATTTGTCTTAGTCAAGTTTAAAAAATATCAAATATTAACACTCAATGTTTTAAGCGGAACTCGACACATTATGTACTTACTAAAAAAAAAAAAAAAATGTTTATGTAAATATTTTATAATATACCAATACGGATTTTGTCTTTGGGTAAAAAAAAAAACACATTTTCTATGTAAATAAATAAATAAATGCATTTTTACGAAAACGATATTATATATGAGTAACTTTTTTATATTTTTACCGAACCTCGGAAATCACTGATAAACCGTTTTGAGTAATTTAGTCCGTATATATACTATATTTTAATAATTAATAATATTGTATATGCACATCACATATTTTTTTATCTAATGTGTACGCAATTTAACCATAATGCGCACGCAAACGAGCCATTAGCCGTTTAAATATTATTTTATTGACTATACGTACACATTTTTCTAAAAGTAAAGTAAATACATTATAMGCGCATACATCCTATACATAGGTATATAATATAATATTATGATATATGCACTGCTGGGATTATTGTCGTAGTCTATATATAAGCGATAAGATGCAATACGACAAGGGGCATCGACCGTCGATCGGAAAACAACAACACGCAATCAATTAATGAGAATTATATTAATAAGTTATATTATATGCATCGTGCGAGACTACGTCGTAATATAGTGTGGGTCCGCGACAACGGGGTTCACAGGGCAAGTGAAGTTGTTGCGCACGCATAAAACACTATAGTTAAAAAAAATTGAAGTCTTAAGAATTTGTGGTTCGATTATAAAAGTAGTCTAGCCTCATGTCCCATAAACAAAATTCAAAAATATGTATTGAGCACTGAGTAATTGTATATGAGTACCTAGGCAACAGATTTATAGAGTGTAATCTGATTTGTGGACACCGGTTTGGACTTGGTATCAACCTACTTGAAACTGGCGATTATCATCATTAAGTTGAATTGCAGACTTACCTAATGCTGGGTTTTGYGACTTGATGATGTGCACTTCTACGTCGCCGAGGGTCAGATTGATTTTGATATCGTTCAACTTCAATTTGCCGTCTTTCACTTCGGTGTTGGCGTGAAATCTAACGACGCTATGACCTGRAAATTTAGAATAGGCATATTATTATGTATATTAATCTTGTGGTCAGTGATTTAATATATTACGAGTACACTAAATATATTTTTTTGAAACATAATCATTTMTATTATATTAACTTAAACAATTTATAATTTATTAAAAATGGGTTTGTAGRAACAATGACGATTTTAAATTCTAAGTAGGTACAGAGTAGACTGTGTCAAAAAAATTTAGTAATACATATTGTACACATTAATAATTATGTAATTTGTGTAAAAACTTTAAAATGCAATCATAAACTTATCTATTATAATAYGTGTATAAAATGTTAAGTCCAATGGYTTTGAACATTGATCTATAATAATACTAAATAGATGATAATAATCAAAGACTCACTGATTTTTCCATCACATTGTCCAGTTCCGTAGACGGGCATTGGAATAACTTTTAACGTGACGTTCAAATTGAAGTCCGTGACGAACGTGACAAGRGGAATCGCTATGACCATGTCCCACATATTTGCTTTTAAATTGACTCTGTGATACACGATAACAACGAAAATGGATTATTAATTTATATTAGTTGTACCTATAAAATATATGAGCAATAATACGACTTATA